TCAAACTATTCACATGGAACATGATCAAGTGTTCAATTTGAAGGTTCCTCAGTTACTAAGATATCACTATTCAGATAGAGGAGTGTGACTTATGTGATTATAATTGTTCTCCGAATGTTGACATGAAGCATGATCACGTGTCAAGGTGAAAGACTTCCAGTTACTTATTTAGAGAATAATCTATCACAGTGATATCATTATTGTAAAGAAGCTAAGCTTCAGTAAATTATGTTGCATCTTAAGATATTGGATGAGGTGCTGCAACATATTTCTAGGACATGTTTATTGAGTACACATCCCGAGAGATTTTCTAAGTTTAGAATACCTCTCATAATTTATATGCCTTTGTAAAGATATCAGCCACCTGATCTTCTGTAGTAATGTACTTTAAGCACACTATATTTTTCTCAACTATATCACGAATAAAATGATGTTTAATATCTATGTGTTTAGTTCGTGAGTGTTGAACAGGATTTTTTGTTATATCAATAGCACTTGAATTATCACAATATATGGTCAGTGTGTCACTGGATAATCCATAATCCCCCAACATTTGTTTCATCCAAATTAGTTGACCACATACATCCTCCAGCAGCTACTATATTCTGATTCAGCTGTTGAAAGTCGATACACAATTGTGTTTTCTACTGAACCTATGAAACCAAGTTATTCCCCAAAAAGAAACATGCACCTGATGTGCTTTTTATGTCACTAATATCCCCAGCCCAATCAGAATCACTAAAACCTATCAAATTTGTATTAGTGTCTTTGAAAAACTGAATGCTTAAATCTACTGTACCTGCAACATACCTAATAATCCTCTTCACAGCTTTAAGATGAGTGACCTTGGGATTAGCTTGATACCTGGCACACATACAAACACTAAACATAATATCAGGTCTGCTTGCAGTTAGATACAGAAGACTTTCAATCATGCTTCTGTATACGTGTGGAATTAATATGCTAATTAATATTAATTTTTTAATAAGTGTCGTGCTAGAATTTTCTCTATTGAAAATTAAAGAATGTTTTAATATTTCGTATTGAACTATGTTTCTCAGTTATAATTGATTTTATATATAGTCGATTAATAAATCGATCACTACACAGACAACGTAGTCGATTTATTTCAGTTTAATCAAGAATTTCACGAAAAAAACATGAAGAAGAAAGTATGCACGGCACAACTTTTTAAATTGAAACTAAGGTAAAACCTTTTGGCAAATGAGTCTCAAAGAAAAAATGAATTTTTTTTTTCTTCTTAAGAAGGCATAATAAATGATTTATAATACTGTGAATCCAAAATAAATTGAACCATCGGACTATAATAAGTATCATGCTGTAATAAGACTATGTAGGGGATGAATTTGGATAATAAGTTTGATTCCCACCTCCCCATAAAAGTTTCAGTTGTGGTCCAATTCAGTTAACTATAACATTTATTATTAAAAAAAAAAAAGAAAAAAGAAAAAACAGGTATAATTCATGTGGGTGTATGTATGAACGGAAGGATACTATAAAGATGACATTTGCAGTCCGCATGGGTGTAGCTCAACTCATTCCGAAGGTGGTAAGTTGGTGCAAGGTCATAGGATCGAATCCTAGCAGCCGCAGTGTGAGAATTTCAACTCCAATGAGGGTTGGTTCCTTGTGGGCACTAGGTTAGGGTCCGCTACCTTAACGGGCAGTTGAGTTACCATGATTTACATTCCTCCATCAATCCTTGTCGGGCCAAGGGATGGGGGCCCTGGGGGCGAGGGATTTCACCTTTTGGTGCAAGATGACATTTACAATACCTCAATTATGACAATATTAAATTTTAGGACAAATTACGGTCACCCTCTGAGTTACGTTATGGTCAAATTACGAAACTCCCTTTTTGTTTGGGTAATTACAGTCATCCTCCTCAACTATGTATTATCTAACGAAATACTCCTTCATATGTAAATTTAGGGATGTTAAATTGGTAAAACTGAACCGCAATTTTGGTACGCCAACATTTCGTACTATTTACAGAACTGAATATATGATTTGGTTCAGTAAATAACCGAATTACATAAATTTTATGTAAAATATTTAAAACGAGGGAGGTGACTGTAAATACCAAAACAAGAATGATTGTTTCGTAATTTATCATACATCAGCGGTGGCTGTAATTTACCCTAAATTTTATCACCAAATGCTTAATAATTATTTTTTTCTACAATTTCATGTTGTCACTAAAATCCGGATATTAATCAGGAATTGACACGTGCACATGAATAGGGGGTGGATGGGCCCTTGTGGCGCCCTGGTGGTAGACATGGCCCCGGGTCGGGTCGGGTCCGGTTCCGGGTCGGACCCGCCGGGTCCGGGTCCGAGTTTTGGAGGACCCGAAACCGACCCGCGGGAAGGCGGGTCCGGGTCCGGGCCGGGTTCACTCGGGTCCACCCGGTTCCGGGTCGGTTCCGGGCCGGGTCCGGGTCCGGACCGGATTTTTAAATTTTGTCCAAAATTTTTATGGATGGGATTCGAACACGGGTCACAAGACACCTGAAAAGAATTCCAAACCACTGAGACAAGATAAATATTTGTGAAATTACTTGCAAGAAATGTACATAAACATAAACAAAACAGTATGAAATGATTATAATAAATAATGTTAAATGCATTGTTAATTTTCATATTCATAATTATTAAACCATTTTAATTACATTATTAACAAATATAATGTCAAAATTAAAAGGACTTTAGATTAATCCATTTAAATCTTACGATTCGATTCTAATATTTGAATAAAATGTATATGTAAAAAAACGATTAAATCATATGGTCTAGAATTTAATTCCTACGATTTTTACAAATTAAATCAATTATTAAAAGAGAAATTACATCATAATATTTTGATTATACTAGTCATATATAATGTTATTTTTAAAGTAAGAATATTAATTGAAATGGGATATAATCTATTTTTGTTAAAATAAACACCATTTATATTATCTTATGATAAAATACTCAATAATATTAATAAGTTATTCTCAACAATTGAGGTTAATCGACTTAAATTAATTGAAATGGGTTATAATTTGTTTTTTTAAATAAACATATTATTTTATTTTTCATTCGATTTTTTCACACTATCGATTTTAATAACATAAGTCATTTTTTAATAAGTCAACGCATTTGTTTATATATTGAATTGATTCAATACTTTATATTTTTCAACAGTGGAGCTTATATTGATATATTAATTAATAATAGATGTTTTGAAGTATTGAATTGTGATTATATATATTTTTCTTATATTGCATTTGTTAATTATTTAATTAAAATTATTTAATAATAATTAATATGAAAATTAATAATTTATTAACATATTTATCATTTACGCCATAGGTTTATATTATATATATTTGTTGTCTATATTTAATCAAACATATTGGTTGGCCTGGTGGTTAGTGCTCAGTGAATCACTTTGGCTACCCGGGTTCGAACCCCAATTGCAGCATTTTTGGTGATTATTTCATTAAAAATCCGGGTGGACCCGACGGGTCCTCGGGCCGGGCCCTCGGGTCCACCCGCCGAGTAGACCCGGCGGGTCTCGGGTCCAAGAAGTCGGGACCCGAAACCGACCCGTACTTGGCCGGGTCCGGGTCCGGGTCCATGGTCAACGGGTCGGGTTCGGGGCGGGGCGGGGCAGTCAACGGGTCGGGTTCGGGGCGGGGCGGGGCAGTCAACGGGTCGGGTCCGGGGCGGGTCCGGGTCAGACCCAACCCGTGGCCATGTCTACCTGGTGGTGTGTCTCTCAACAATTTTGCCATTATTCTTTTTTATCTTAGTGGCTAGTTAATTTTGTTAGTGTTTGTCAATTTGTCAATTGACATTTTTCCTTTTAAAAATGAATAATAATAAAAATAAATAAAACTTTCTCCGGAAAAAACCATCTAACACTTTCAAACTAGAGGATAATTAAAAATTTTAAAAAAAGAAGAAAATGTTATCAACAAATATTCATCAATAGTTGTGATCTTTGTAAATAATTATTTGTTGTTATTGCTTGCGTATAAGTTTTAACTTTTAATGTTCTTTCTCTATCTTTTTTCTAATTTTTTATTTTATCTCGATTCGTTGCTTACCCTAAATTTACAATTATGATATCTTAATAGTTTGACTTGTCATGATTTAAATATTCTACGTGGCAAAACTTGAGTGGAGATGGGTAATTGCAAATAATTGGCAGGTATAATTTAGAAGTTAATAAGATATTACGTCTGCTTATTTACACTGAATGAATTTAAACTATATGTCTGACAAAATATCGATAAAAATTACATAGACAATACCATTTGAAGATTCTACGCTCCACTAATATACGATAATAAAATAAGGGGTTTATTGCATTCAACATCTTTCTATTTACTCTAATTGTTAAATTACTCTTTCTGTTATTTCTATTAACAAAAATACTCCTATCATCTTTCCTTAAAAAAGTTGTCCTATGATTCAATTTCTTTAGCAAACTACTTTGCTATATCTATTAATTAATAACACTACGAATTTATTAGCAATTCAACATAACAAATGGTCAGAAAATGCAATAAATTCATTAAAGCCGAGAAGCGAGACATATACGCAAAATAAGATAAAAAAATATATCCATAATGGTATGATTTATGTATATGTATGCTCAGTGGATAGTTATTTGTTGTTCCTTGGTATATTGTTTTGTTGTAGTTGTTATTTATTTATTTACTTTTTTGAACAGGAGTTAGTTGATTATTATTCAATATAATGTACAGATCATAATAAGGTATAAATACAGCTGACCATAATATTGTTATATAGATCCAATAATTAATTAAATTGAAAAGAAAAAAAATATTGTCAAAGTTGTAAAATAATATCATGTCCTCATAAACCACCCCAGAGTGGGCGGGCCCCACAGTTGGACATCTATAAATACCCTCTCTTTGGAAGCCAAATTAAATTCCTCACACTATCTTTTCTAATTAAATCATTTTTCCCCAAAAAAAAAAAAAAAAAAAAGAAAAACCTAACAAAAAATTAGGCGACAGTGTCGAAAAATGGTTTGCCTGAGCGACCCGTTGGTACAGAAAATATGCTCCCTGTACGAGAAGATCTCGAAGCTCGACAACCTCAGCCCGTCGAAAGATGCGGACGCGCTTTTCACGGAGCTTGTCAAAACCTGCATTCCGCCTCACCCGGTTGACGTCACCAAACTCTGCGCCGAAATCCAGCTCATCAGAACAAACCTAATCAAGCTATGCGGCACGGCGGAAGGCCTTATGGAGAGCCACTACTCCACCATACTAGGCTCCTTCGAAAACCCACTCGACCACCTCCACCTCTTCCCTTACTACTCCAACTACCTCAAACTCAGCCGCCTCGAATTCGACCTCCTCCGCCCCCACTGCTCCTCCGCCGCCCCCCGCCTGATCGCCTTCATCGGCTCCGGCCCACTCCCCCTCACCTCCATCGTCCTCGCCACCCACCACCTCAAGACCACAACCTTCCACAACTACGACATCGACGCCTCGGCCAACGCCGAGGCGTCGATGCTGGTCGGGGCCGACCCCGACCTGTCCGGGAGGATGGAGTTCATCACCCAGGACATCATGGAGGTGTCGGGGGCCGCCCTGAAGCAGTACGACGTTGTTTTCCTGGCGGCGCTCGTCGGGATGGAGATCGAGGAGAAGATGCACGTGGTCGAGCATCTGGCGAAGAACATGGCCCCCGGCGCGATCCTGATGCTCAGGAGCGCGCACGGGGCTCGGGCGTTTCTGTACCCGGTGGTGGAGCCGAGGCAGCTCAGGGGGTTCGAGGTGATGTCGGTGTTTCATCCGACGGATGACGTCATCAACTCGGTGGTGGTTGCTAGGAGGTGCCCGAAGGTTGACCAGGTGGTCGGCGGCGGCGGTGGGTTTGGGCATATGGTGGTTTGCAGCAAGTGCTCTGAGATCCAGCCGTTCAATCCACTCTGCCAGATGAATTTGATCGATGACTTGGCTGTGGAATTAGACCATCTTTAATTTAATTTGAAGAAGATCGTGATCGCGCGTTAGTTATATATGGATTTCTACTCTACTTCATTATTATTATTATGATTATTAATAATCTGATCGATCTCTCTTTTGTTTGGGCCAAAGCTGATTAATGCCTTTTCTTGATGTTTTCTGTGTAATGCCTGACTGGTTTGAGTGTTGGTTTACTTTGTAGAATGTGTACGTGTCTCTGTTTTTCTTCTTCTTCTTCTTCTTCTTTTTTGTGTACTTTGTTTTAGCTGTTTTCGTGATATTTTGGTGATATTTTTAAGAAATAACACGACCATCTGGAGTTTGTCTGCGTGTCGCACACATTTTGTACTGTTCGGGTCAATTTGTAATTTCGATAAGTTAGAAACATGTTTGAATAGTAAATTTCTAAATATTTTTATTGCTTCCCTAATTATTTGATATGGTCTAATGATCAATTGCAAATTGACACTGAATACTAATATTTATTTTGAATATGTTTGTATGAAAATATATAAAAAGAATTATCTATAAATAAAAATTTATATACCACTATATTTTTAGTATTTATACGTTTTTCTTAAGTTCCTGTACCCCATTTTTGCCTCATGCGGTTTTCATGTGTCCGTTTCCTGATTTCAGTGTCCGTGCTATATAGGTATTAATTACTCACTTGTTAAAATTCTTGTGCGATATTCTTTTTCTTATTTTGCGTATATGTCTCACTTCTCGGCTTTTACGAATTTATTGCATTTTCTGACCATGTGTTATGTTGAATTGCTAATAAATTCTTAGTGTTATTAATGAATAGATATTAGCAAAATAGTTTGGTAAACAAATTGAATCATAGGAGAAACACTTTTTTTAGGAAAAAGTACAGGAGAATCTTTGTTAATAGAAATAACACAAAGAGTAAATACAATGATGTTGAAGGCAATAAACCCCCTCTTTTAATTTACTATCATATACTTATAGTGGAGCATAGAATCTTCGTATGGTGTTGTCTAGATAATCTTTATCACGATAAAACCTTAATTTTGTCAACGCCAGAATCAAAGTGCGTTATATATATGGTAGTAATATACAGTTGACTGTAAATTTAGATCGGATGATTTGTTTTAACAGGAAAATCGGATGCCATGTAATAATTGATACGTAGATAGTTTAAATAAAAATATAATAGAATTCTAATAATTGGAAAAAGAAAACTCCAGCAGAACCCATAACCCTTCTAACGACTAACCCTAATTATAATTAGCGTAATTTATTAAGAGTTAAGACTTAAAAGTGCCACATCGCAACAAATTAATGAAATCCAATTTATATTAATATCGCCTCATCCGCTCAAAATTCAACCTCTATACAGTTAAATACACTTTGCACATTTTTTTCATCTTCGAAGTAAAGCCTATGTAACACTTGCGTAAAAATTATAAATATGAGTCTATTAGCGAGACCCCCTCAATATTTATTTTAATAGAACTAAATTAATTTAGTTATTTGCATTTGAAAGACCTCCTAAAATTTCATAAACCCATTTTGTCCTTACATTATTCCAATTTTCGACCCCTCTTTCACTACCTATATATCATTCTATTTTCTACCTTTTTTTTAATAATTTTTTTTTTTAATAAATTATTTTTTAATAAATTATTTTTTTAATAAATTAATTTTTTTTAATAAATTCGCCTTTTTTTTCATGCAGATTTACCATATCGTAAACAACTAAAAATTACAATAATCAACTACAAATTTCAATAATCAACTACGACTACAATTTATAACAAAAAACAACTATAAAAACACCTCAATCCAACTATAAATTTTAGCAACCGAGTACAAGCTACAATTTATAGTAATCCACTTCAATTCACCGAAAACAACTACAAATACATCAATTATCAGTGATATCGGTAACAACATCAAAATTCCTTCAACAAAAAAAAAACAAAACAACTTTATTATCATAATATAAAATTAATCTCTAAATAAATAAAGCAAAGAAGAACTAGAGAAAATAAAATCAAAAATAGGGGATAAAAATAATAATAACAATTAAAAAAATATAGATGTAATAAATTATGATTGTGCTGAGATTAGATGTACAAATAATTAGAAAAACGGTGGCTGCAGAATTGGAGAATAGGGTGTTTCTACCATGAGATCCTGTGTTCTAAACTTATATGAGATACCCCATTTAAATTGCGATTTGCGATTTGTTTCTTATGATTTTACGAATTAAATTATTATTTTTTTGTTAAAATTGAATTTAAAGGATAGTAGACTTTAAATATAAATAGTTAACTCGATTAATAGATTCAAATCATACGCTTTAATTAATCTTATGATTTGATTCTTACGTAATTTAGAAATTATTTTTTTATGATAAAATTGAATTAAAAATGTATTACACTTTAATTAATAATAGTTAATTTGATTAAGACGTTCTTGTCAATAGTTGAGCGCGCTAATTAACCGTTACAAATATTTGAATAATGTTTACAAATTGAAAGGACTTGAGATTAATTGGTTCAAATATTACGCTTTGATTAAATATTACGATTTACGATTAGGTTCTTACATGTGTTAGGAATTAAATTTATTATTTTTTATGACAAAATTAAATAAAAAAGATATTAGACATTACTTATAAATAGTTAAATCAATAATGTAACACGTTATGTCAACAGTTGAGCAACCGATTCAAATATTTGAATAATGTTTACTAATTGAAAGGATTTGAACTTAATCGATTCAAATCTTAATATTTGATTAAATTAAATATTAAAAGAAAATTCACAATATAGTATTTGTATTATATAATTTTATTTTAAAGTGAGAAAACTACTAATTGAAATGAGTTATTAATTTTTCTTCTTCTAAATACACATATTAATTTATTTTTTATTTGGATTTGTCACACTATTGATTACTTATAATAACATAAGTGAGTTTGAATTAATTTATGTATTTTTTTATATTTAATTGAGCATTCTTTACATTTTTAAATGGTGGAGTTTATTAATAATTCTAATATTATATAATTAATGAGAGATGTTTGGCGTATTGAACTGCAATTCTTTATATTTTTCAAACTTTATTATATTAAATTTGTTAATAATTTATTTAATATCATTTAATAATAATGAATGTTGCAATTAATATTTAATTAACAATATTTATACAATTATGGTTAATATTTCATAATAAGTTAATGCACTAATTGGATGGTCAGGAGTGATTGATGAATTTATTAAGATGTCCCAAGTTCTCTATCCCTAATGAATGCATTTTTTTCGATTATTTATCAAATAAAACTCGGTCACAATGAATTTAAATTAATTATTTAATTAAAATATAATAAGGGGTAAATTAGACAATTCAATGTTGATCAATTTTATATTAATTTAATAAAAAAAATAATCGAAGGATAATTTGGTAAAGTACTTCATTTTTTAGAACATAAGCCATGTTATTTTCCTAGGATCCAGATTTAATCTTAGAAAATTAATGGTGATCAATACATAGCTCATTTAAGTTTAGAACACATGTGGTCTCACCCTAGAAAGACCTCGGAGAATAATATATATGTATATATATGTGTATATATATATCCTAGGAGTAAATGGAATAACACAAACAAAGCAGCCTACTGAATGTGCTGTAACATTTATAGCCACACATGTCTAAGTATATATGATAATATAATTGAATCATATATGCTCTCTCAATTGGTTATTTAGCTTCTTTCTCTCTTGCTGCTACTTCTGTATTTAGCAGTGTTCTAAAAATCGGTCGAGGCGGCCGATTAATCGGTCGCCGAGGCGGAGGCGGTCCAAAACCTTTACGATTTTAGTGTAAAGGTTTGAAAAATCGGTTTTTTGCTTGTGAGGCGGTTTGAGGCGGTCCCAGGCGGTCTGAGGCGGTCAAACCTTTAAGGCGGGTCAAACTTCGGTGGCAAAAATCGGCAAAAAATCGGTTTTTTTATTTATTTATTTTTTATTTTTTATTTTTTATAAATCAAAATAAAAGTTGGGATTTTAATAAAAAAAAATGAGTTTATGCTATATTTTGTTTATGTTAATTATTATTGTTAAATAACTAATGATGTATGCCATGCCAAGAATGTATGTAAATTCAAAAAAAATTGCCTTTTTATTTATAATTTATAAGGATATTTATGTATTATGATCTTATTATTATTAAACTTTTATTATATTATTAGAATATATACATGATCGAGATATAACTATGTTTAAATATTTTATATCTATGTTTTGAGTATTTATAAATAATATCTACAAATATATTATATTAAATTTTAAAAACCGATTTATTTCCAATTTATCACCGATTAATCACCGCCGCACTGATTAATTGTGAGTCGGTGCCTGACCGACTCGGACCCGATTACCGATTTTTACAACCTTGGTATTTAGTATATATTTACTATAGTAATACTGAAATAAGATTTGTTGAAAAAACGAAAGGCTAACGGTATATAAACAACTAAACGTGAAATTAAAAGTTTAGGCTAATTATAAGTACTAGAACCGGCATTCGTTTAATTTATGCAAGTGTACTCGTTATTTCCTATTGGAACTTTGGCAAAATTTATTTTAACCCTCATAATTAGTTTGTATAACTATAAATTAGATGCAAAGAGTTATTTTTTGTTTCAGTTAAAATCCCGAGACTTACATTTTTAATTCATAATAATTAGTTCCCTCATGCATATATCTTTTGCTTAATTGTCTTTCGCACAAATCATCCATATATAAAAAACCCTAACAATTATAATTCTCGTTGAACTAGAAGACGAAATTCCGCCTTAGAGTTCCCATGCGTTTGCCCGCGATAGGTATTTTTAAAGCGGACCTGAACTAGGTGTCTATAAGAAACTAACACACACTGGAGTTAAAATTCTCACACTGTTGTTTCCGATACTCAACCTTAGGACTTTGCACCAACTTACACCCAAAATCAGTTAAACTATACCCATGCAGGCAAGATCGATCTCTCTCTCTCTCATTTAGAATAAGTCATACTAACAATAATCCAAAAATTAGATCACTTGTGCAGATATGTCAACTTAGACAAATTAGCTGAGTTGTACATTTAATTATTGTACGACAATATATTGTACGTGATCATATATGTATATATATATTTTGCATCTGATCTCCACAAGATGATTTGAAAATCAACATGAAAATCTCTTTGACTTTCATATTTACATTTTCAAAATTTCGAATGGGAATATTAAGAAGATCAATTTTTAAATTGACCTATTCGATCAGATCAAATGAGTTGACCAATTACTCAAATTGACCCTAATACTACGTACCCTGACTTCATCAATTTATCTAGAGGTGTGAATAGATTTACAATTTGTGGTACGGTCCGAACTCAAATACCAA